TACTTAGGAATAAACTTAATGTGAAATGTACAGTAAGGAAAATTTAAAAATTCTCCTGAAAGGTGAAAGTAGACTCGAACAAAGGGAAAGATGTCACCTTTTCTTGGCTGGAACGACTCAACATCACGAAGATGTCTGTTCTTCCTAAATTACTTTGGAAATGTAATGCAATCCCAATAAAAACACAAGTTGAAAAACAGAAATTAGACATGTTGACAAAAGACATGCAAGAATAATCAGGAAAACACTCAAAAAGAAAAACTAAGAGGGGTACTGGCCTCCCAGAAGTTAAAATACACTTAAGCCCGTGGGGCTGGCAGGTTAATAGACGAAGAGAGCAGCGCAGGAGGATGCACAGCCCAGAACAGAGGGAGCCACACCTGCAGATGCTTAGTATAAAATCGGTGTGGCATTGCAAATCTCGGGGGCGAAGACGGGCTTTTCAATAAATGGCGCTGGTATGAGTGGGTAGCCATGTGTAAAGAGAGAAAATTAGAAAGATACTTCACACCATACCCAAAGGTAACTCCAAACGGACAAGGGATCGCCAAGCAGCGGGGCAGATGAAGTCGTGTAAGGACCAGAGGAAACACGGCCGATTCCTCCTCAGCCGCGGTGTAGACAAACACTGTCGCTGTGGCTCAGAAGCTAAAGGCAACTCATGATGGGTCATTTTGACGACAGAAAAATTGAAAGTTTCTGCATGAAAAAATTTTAAACATAGTCCAAAGACAACTGACAAAGTGGAAAAAAATATTTGCCATGTGTGTCTCAGACAAAGGTGTAATATTCCTAAAATAGAAAGAACTCTTAGAGATTGAGGATAAAAAGACCAAAAACCTGGTAGAAAAATGAGAAAATGACCTGAACGGAACATTCACAACAATGATATAAAAATGACCCGTATGCATATGAGACGTTCAAACTCGCTCATGGTGGGAGAATTGCGAATTAAAACAACACTGAGATGTGGCTCCTTGCCCGTAAGATTGGTGATAATTTGAAAGTATGACGACACCCTGCTGGCGAGGCTGGGGGGACGCGGTCCGGCTCAGACACGCACACTGTCTGTCTGTCCCACCACGTTTGGAATGCAGGTGGGGTAACTACCAGGTCCCGCTTGCCATGGCTGGAAACTCTGTCCTCACCACCAGAAGAGAATTGTGATTCAGGTAACTCTCAGGACCGCTGACTCAGTAACTCCCACCGTCTCTGGGTTCTTTGATGACGAACATGGGAAAAATGGGTGGACATTTTCTTGATTACACACTTACGGACATTTGGGCCCAGAGTTTATTTTAAAAGGTTGAGATGAAACGCTAATATTGTTTTAAAGATTTACTTGAAAATGTGTTTGGGAAAGTTAGGTAAATACCGTCAGGTATCATCTGACTATTAAGACTACATATTCCCTCATTTTTGATCCCGCTGTCCCGATTCTAAGCATTGGCTCTGGAGAAAGGTCTCTAATTATATGAAAATAGACATGCACCAGGCCTTCCATTGCTGTGTTGTTTGTAACTGCAGAAGACTGCAAACAAGTGGAAAGACCGCACAGAGGGGACGGGGGCACTGAGTGTGGGTCGTAAGCGCTGTGAAATGCTGGCAGCTGCAGAGAACAGAGGGAGAGCTCCACTGCCCCACGTGGAGTGATTTCCCTTCACAACGTCAAGTGAAAAGTGAAGGCTGGAGGAGATTTACGGACTGCACCCCTCAGGGAACGAAGGAGGGATGCGCAAACATACACGTATGTCCTCCTCTGTGCAAAAGGAAACACAGGCAGGATGACATGAACTCACGACATTGTCACATCCGGGATGGATCGCACGCCGGGCGAGTGGTGCTTTTCTGTATGCACCTTTTTCTACAGTTATGACTGTTAAAACCACAGCAATGCTTCATATATTCAAATGTTAATACGTATTTAAAATCAATAGGATGAGAGGACCAAAAAGGGAATGCAAATTATAGTGAACGAGCCTGATTTAATTAGAAGCGGTAACACCCACGGTGCGGGGGGCGAGGAAGGACTCCCCAGGTAACTTTGGACGAAATATGTGACTAGAGGCCGTGAGACTAGAGACAGAGAACTATTCATGAGTATTGTTCTCTTGTCGGGAAATCTGATTTTCCCAGGCATACGGGACAGCAATTCTAAAACTGTAAGACTGGGCAAATTATTAAATATGTTGTGGAAAATGGGAGCCGGGTTTCTAACAATTACGAAGAAGGTACTGGAAGGAACCCTGATGGAGTTCCACAGTGCTGGAGTGGAATCCGTGGCATCCCTCGAATTTATGGTTTTATATAGAAAAAAGGGGAGGAAGGAGAGAAACAGACAGTTCGACATAGATGTGTCTGTGTGTGTGTGTGGGTGTCTGCGTCTGTGTGTGTGTGTCCCTGTGTGTGCGTCTGTGTGTGTGTCTGCATCTGTGTGTGTCCCTGTGTGTGCATCTGTGTGTGTGTCTGCATCTGTATGTGTGTGTATCCCTGTGTGTGTGTCTGCATCTGTGTGTGTGTCCCTGGGTGTGTCTGCGTCTGTGTGTGTGTGTCCCTGTGTGTGCATCTGCATCTGTGTGTGTGTCCCTGTGTGTGTGTCCCTGGGTGTGTCTGCATCTGTGTGTGTGTGTCCCTGTGTGTGAGTCTGTCTGTGTGTGTGTCTGCATCTGTGTGTGTGTCCCTGTGGTGTGTCTGCATCTGTGTGTGTGTGTCCCTGTGTGTGCATCTGTGTGTGTGTCTGCATCTGTGTGTGTGTGCGTCTGCATCTGTGTGTGTGTCCCTGGGTGTGTCTGCATCTGTGTGTGTGTCCCTGTGTGTGCGTCTGTGTGTGTCGTATGCTGCCCAGCTCTGTCTGCCGAGGGCGCCTGGAAGCAGCGACATTCTGTTGAATTTACCCAGCACCCAGTTCTTGGTTTCTAACTTCAGGTCTCCCGTAAAAGAAACCAGATTCCAGGACTGGGGCAGAGAAAGTACAAGAGGCCTAGAGCATCTTTTGGGGCCAGACAGGAAGTGCTCAAAGAGGACTGGCACGTTAAAAGGACGGAAGAACCAAACGGAAGGAGCTCTAGAGGCAAATCTGGGGAATTTGGACAAGAAAATGATGACACTGATGTTTTATAATCCATGGAATAAAATAAATGTTTATGAGTCTGGATGGATGTTAACAAACATTCAAATGAATAAATAAATATTATGAGGAACAAGCTCTTCCTTAAAGCAGAATTCCAATTAATAAATAGAGAAGAAATGATAGAAGAGGAGATGGCCATTTGGCAAACACCGCACCAGCCATCAGCCAGCTTGTGGCCGCCACCAGGGGGCAGGTCCGGAGATGCCGGAAATATTAGCTGTAACCGGAATCCTATTCTTGTTCCATTCTTTCAGACACCAGAGGCTGGCTCACTGGAGGAGACTGGGGGACGGGCTGAAATACAGGTTCTGGCCCCACCTCTCGGCCCATTGTGGGGTCCCACAGGCTACACGTGTTCTTTCTTTAGTGGGGTCTTTAGGGTGAGGAAAAGATCTGTTGCCCCTTGGGATGCCAGCTCCCAATCTCGGAGGCTTGGCACACTGGTTTTCATTTCCACAAGCTCCCTCTTAGAGGGACGCTGTTCCTCTTTCCTGGGGACACCCCTCGGGGGACACTCTGGGCTCTCAGGGCCCCACCCACCCCAGGGGAGGAGCAGTGACAACTGAAAGTTTGGGAAGGAAGGACGGTGGCTGCGCCTTCCTCTCCCTGTGGCGTCCGCCTGCCGGGACGACATTTCTGTCGCCCTCCTCTAGGCTCTGGGTTCCCAGGGTCAGACACCCTGCAGGGGGTGGGGAGCGGGGCGTCCCTCAGCCCCGACAGAGACCTGGGAAATCCACCTCACCCAGTGGAGCAGCCGTGCTCCCCCACGCTTTCCATCCTCCATAAAGGAGGTGTCTCCGTCGGCACCTGTCTGCCTCCTCTGGCCTCCCCACCACGTTCTGACTCGGGCAGGGGAGCTATGGGGTTGCATTTACCATCATTCAGAATTTGGTCTTCACTGCGACCAGACAATTGTGAATTATCCAAGAGTTTATGATAACTCTGAGGACCACCAACTTGATATTTCTGATCAACGCCAGAATCTTTAATGAAGAGCATTAAAAAAATGAAGAAACGTTTTCTTAATTAACTCTTATGAGCACTGTGGGCCATGCTTTAAACCGCTAGCGGGGAATGCTAGCAGAGCTTTCGGTCCTACTGAACACGTGAGTTGGAAGTTACTGTGTAAATAGAATCGGGCTTCATCTGACCGCGCCTGAACCCAGCGGCACAGGCCTTGGCAGACTTTGGGGGAGCTCACCCTAGGAACTGGAATTTACATCTGGATGCAAAATTTCCAGAAAATGCTGGACGTCCCTGCTGCTGAGTGCGTTTCCACGCACTATCTGTGGCTTCCTGATACCCGGCTCCCGCCCGAGTGAGTGTCAATCAAATGCACTGCCCCTGGTCCTCAGGATGCTGTTTATCTGGTGCGTCTGGAACAGCAGAAGCTGCGCTTTGGAGAAGCATGCTCTTCGTGTTGCTCGCTGCTGGCCGTGTGGCCTTGGGCAGGTCCTTTCTCAGACCCCACTTTTATCCCCTGTCGAGTGGGGGTGTCGCTGCAGCCGGGCTCTCTCAGGAGCCTCAGGCGAGCATCGCATGTGCTGGCTGGGGAAAGTGCCTATTCTCCTGGGCCCCGTGTTCCTACAGTGGCTAAACCCCATTTGCCTCCCGAGCGCCAGACCTCCCTTGCACGCGCACCCCAGAGACCAGCCCAGAATAAAGGGAACTTGTCTCTGCCATCTAGTCTAAGTCCTCGGTCTTGGGAGGTTATAGAAGTGGTTCAGGACAACTGCTGCCTTCGCATCTCCAGGGCTCCTGCCCCAGGAGCAGCTGGCCTTGAAGACCGCTAACACGCTGGGACTGTGCGCGCAAACCACAGACCTCGAGGAATACGTGCAATTATGGGTTTAAAAAAATGGGTACTTGCCTTTTTCCTTGAATAATCTTGTTGATAACGTTGCTTCGGTCACTTGTGTTGTAGACGCTGATGATTTACTGTGATCCAGCATCTCTTGGACTAGAATTTCATCTTGGGAAAAGCACATGGGGTCATGTTAAAGCCAGCGATGCAGGATCCACGCCCTTCTGCGCTACGTGGACCTAAGGCAGCCTGTGAATGCGGAAGCTGGAAACAGGGACTCAGGGAGCTCCAAGGAGCACTGGCTTCCCGAAGAACCTTGTCTGGGGCAGGGAGACCGCTGCCTTCCTAAATCATTTCTGAAGACCTGAGACCACCCAGATTCCCTGGACAACAAACATTGCCCCCAAAGATACGATGCCAGACACCTGGCCCCGGCGTGGTCATGATGCTCCTTCCTGCCCCTGCTGTCACCCTGTCCCTCTCTGAGACTTTCCTCAAGCTTCCCGTGTATGCACGAACCTCTTTCCTCATATCTACACGACGCGGCCTTGTTCTCTTCCTTCCCATCCTTCCGACCTCTCCTAGGAGGCTCTTAACCTGAGAGTCCTGGACTTTGTGTTGGACACACCTGGACCACGCTCTGGTTCTGCTCTCACCGCAACGTAATCTTAGACAAGTTTCTCTTGGGCCTTCGGTTTTCTTGCCTGTGAAATGGGATCTGTATTTATCTTATTGGGCTTTTTAGGAGGTTCAATAAAGCAGTGCGTGTAAGAAGCCCTTAACACAGCCCGGTCCGTGGTGGAGGCTGAACGGATGAATGGCAGCACTCAGTCCCTCCATCTGTGCAGCCCAACGGGCACTCGCTGACCAGCCAGTCCGCACGCTGGGTTTGTGCTGAATGGAGCCCAGCTGGGGTGACCAACTGCTCTGGTTTGCCCTAATTTTCCTGTTTCAGCATGAAAGTCCCGTGTCCAGGAGCCCCTCAGTCCCGGGCAAAGCGGATGCTGGTGACCCTAGTTCCAGCTCAAGTGGAATACATGCGTAAAGGGGAGAAGACCTGAAATTTCACTGGAAACAAAGATTTCACCAACATCCATGGGGAGGACGCTCCCACACGATTCTGTGGCATTTCTATTAAGCAGGCACGCTCTCCTCCTTCCCCCGCAGAACCTGAACTTGGCTGGGCCATGTGCACACCCCAGCAGGTACCTGGAGACTTCTGCAGCGGGGGTGAGCCACAGGACAAGCAGGAGTCTACTGGGCTCTGTGGAGAATTTTGCTTTTCCTGATAAAGAGAAATGAGTGTATGGACCTGCACTCCTGCCTCTTGCTGCCCTGGAAGTGGCCCTGACGGCTGGAGCTGTGGACACCCTCCGTGATCACAAGGCACAAGCTTGAGGGCTGCCCAGGTGACCTCTGGGGCATGGTCTCGTGTTGCTGAGCTGCTGGTGACCCAGGAACACAGTCACCGCGTGGCTGAGCTGCTCTGTTTCTGCTCACGTGGCCAGTCGCAGTCTTACTGGTGCACCTGCTCTGGCTACACCTGCTTCCGCCTTGAGAAGACCTCGGCCACTTTTCTAGGACAGCTATTGTGCAGAGGAACCAAGTTTTAGTCCCCCCAAATCATGTTGTCTAGTTAGATTTTGGGTCACAGAGAAGAATGGATGTTCATGCGAACAACAAGCATTATTGAATACCTGCTGCGTACCAGAAACTCCAGGTGCTGGAGGGTCAAGGATGGCCCAGCCCTGCTCCCAGATCTCTGTCCCGAGCAAACCAGCCATGAGTGAGGGGCAGAACTCTACAGACACGACCAGGCACAGCACTTCAGCCTAACAGAGAGCCCACTAGAGGCTGAGGCGAAGGAGAGCCCCCCCAGCAGGGGCCGGCAGGGGACAGGAGCTCGGCTGACCTGCTCAAAGAACTGGTGTTCCTGGCACTAGTCTGCCCTGTCCAGGAAGCCTCCTGGGGACACTAAAGGTGTGAGCAGCAGACGTCCTGAGAGCTCCTCGAAGCGGGGGGGCGGGGTGACATCCCAGCTGCAACCAGACGGCTCCCCGTTTGTGGACGGTGACAAGTCCTCAGGCCGGAGAGGCTCAAAGCCAACCGGCTTCACACCTTCTTCAGTGTGGCAGCTGGGGGAATGCCCCAAAGGTGAGCAAACCAAAATGCAAAAGCTGCCTCTGACGGCTTCAGCACTCCTCCAGAAACGTCGGCTATGTAACTGTAGCCAGAGAAAACCTTAGGTACAGACGGAGCCAGACAGGTCTACGAGGTGAGAAAGCTCTTTGTCTGAAACCATGCCTAATTTCTTAGTGTTAACTGTTCTTTCTTGAGAAATGAGGTATTGAATACTCAAGCGGACAATGACCAGACCTACATACAAGCAGAACTCTGACCCGCTGTCTCAGCGCCCGGCCCAGGCAGCCAGCCCGCCTTCCAGTCACACTTGCAGGAAGTTGACTGCCTTCTCCAGCAACAGTCCCGGAAGCCAAACAACCACCTGCAGCACCGGCCCCTGACGGCCGGGCGTGACCAATCACTGCAGCTGCCCCAACTTCTGTCCCTGCGGCCAGCTCAGGACCAACCAGAGGAGCCAAAGGTGCTCCCCTGCCCCCTCACACTGCATGCTTGCTTCTGGCTAGCCACCTTGGTGTCCCCCGGCCAGCATCTCTGGTGGGACACCCCTGAGTCGTGCCTTGGCCAGCACCTCCCTCAGGGCACCCCTAACCATCCGCTGGCCAGAACCTCCATTCATCAGGACGTCCCAACCATCCACCTCCATCAGGACACCCTGACGTCCCCCTCCATCAGGGCATCCCTGACCATCCCCCTCCATCAGGACACCCCTGACCGTCCCCCTCCATCAGGGCACCCCTGACCGTCCCCCTCCATCAGGGCACCCTGACCATCCCCCTCCATCAGGGCACCCCTGACCGTCCCCCTCCATCAGGACACCCCTGACCATCCCCCTCCATCAGGGCACCCTGCCCATCCCCCTCCATCAGGGCACCCCTGACCGTCCCCCTCCATCAGGACACCCCTGACCATCCCCCTCCATCAGGACACCCCTGACCATCCCCCTCCATCAGGACATCCCTGCCCGTGCCCCTCCATCAGGGCACCCCTGCCTGTCCCCCTTCATTAGGACACCCCTGACCGTCCCCCTCCATCAGGACGCCCCTGCCCGTCCCCCTCCATCAGGACACCCCAGAGCTGCCCCCCGGCCAGCATCCCCCCCAGGGCACCCCTGAGCCTCCCTCCCTGTCCCTGTCGCCTGAGTCTCTGCCACATGTAGTTGATGGTGGCCGACCCTCTGCTACAGCCAGCTCTGAGCCAACAGCCTCTGCTGCTCTCATGTGGGCCATCTTTGTTCTTTGCAGAGATCTGGGTTTCTCACTCAAAGCTTCCCCTTCTACCTTGGAGAAGTGTGGAGCGGGGTGGGGCCACAGTTCTGGTTCGCTGAGCCCCAGAAAATCACCAGAAATCCCAGTGACTCTATTCTTTCTCACCTTTTCCAAAGGTTGTTGGGGCTTCGGATGGAGAGGGAGCTGTGTCAGGACTGTAATTCTCCCAACACAGTACGCGTCAGACCCGCCAGGAGAGGCGTGAGTCCTCGTCACAGCCACTCCCTGACCTGGAGGAGCTGGATGCTTGCCTGGGGCAGTTCACTGACTAGTGGGGTGGCCTTCGAGTTCCTGCACGTTTTACCTAACCAGCACAGAATATTTTTAGGGCGTCTGACTCTGCTGAAGCTCATACCTCCACAGGGCCCTCAGTGGGACCAAGTTCTCTCCAAGCCCTGAACCTCACACAGAGACGACGTCATCATCTCATTTTACAGACCAGACCTGGTTCAGGGAGATTAAGGCACCTGCAGGCCTGGGAACCACGTCTTCTGATTCTGAGACAGGATCTGCTTAGATGAGCGGATGGTGTTAGCCCCAGAGTGAACTGCGAACATGCATTCATTTGTTCATTCACTCATTAATGTAATCTATCTATCTATATCTATCTATCTATCATCTATCTATCTATATCTATCAATCTATGTATCCCTCTCTCTATCTATATCTATCATCTACCCATCTGTCTATCTATACCTATATGTCTATCTATCCATCTATCTATCATCTATCTATCTATCCCTATATCTATATCTATCAGTCTATCTATCTGTCTATCCATCCATCTATATCTATCTATCAATCATCCATCTATCCCTCTATCTATCTATATCTATCTATCCGGCAGTCAGAGAGGATTTTCTGAGGCCTCTCATACACCAGACTTGGAAACGGCAGCAAAGCCCAGCCTCCTGACAGAGGCGCTCCTGGAAAGGGCCCGCTTACCTGGCGGACACCTGCGTTGTCCTCAGAGACCTCCTGTCTGAGGCTTCTAAGCCTCGAGAGCAGCGTCAGCACCACACCTCCCTAGGGCTCCCTCTCAGACCCAGGGCGACCCCCAGTCCCACTCGCGACCCCGTGAACAGATGCCTGAAGTGAGCAGGGTCAGGACCCCGTGCCCTGAGCCCCCTCTCTCTGCTCGGGGGACTCCTCTAGGCCTCAGCTTCCTCAAATGTAAAGTGAGGGGCTGGACCAGAACTGTGGGTACTGGAGCTCTGGTAGCGTGGTCGCACACGGAACATGGCTGGCCTCACTGAGGTTTCTTCTAAGTGTGAAGCACACACCGGATTTTGAAGGCTCAGTGAGATAAAAAGACTGAAAATATCTCATTAATAATTTTATATCATTTACATGTTGAAATGATAGGACTAAATTAAATGTTATTGAAATTAATTTCACTTATTTCCTTTTTAAAGAAAAATATGGCTACTAGAAAATTTAAAATGACACCTGTGTCTTGCATTATATTTCTTTAGGGCAGCCTTGATTACAGCGATGATTCCCAGCCCGCCTGTGCCTCCAGTAGGGCTGGACGCGGGCATTTCTCATAAGATCCCGGGTGATGCAGGTGCTGCTGGTCCACAGACCTCACCTTGAGATGTGAGGCTCCAAGACTCTCCTTAGGTCTAATGGGCTAAAATTCTGTCTTTCTTAATTCCTTGGGAATTTGACTCTTAGGTGTAAGCACTGAAGCTATGCGACACGGGGATGGGGTTCTAGCCTCAAGCCAAGTTACTTCCCTCCACCCTGTGCAACTTTCCTGGGAGACCCCCTGACAATCGCCCAGCCCTGCAAACACAGCCAGGGGTCTGGTGTGCGGAGGGTCCTTACCCAACACTCCATGTACCTCCTCCTGAGTTTTTGAACTTGATGGAATTTCAGTAATTGGACCTAGAGGGGAAATAGAGAGCCCACTAGGTTAACAATGTTCATTGAATTTGAGCTGACTTCTCTCTAAATAGATTCGGTTTCTCGGTGCCCCCAGCCCGCTCTAGGGGAGGAGCCCTGCCCGCAGCTCTCGGGACGGCCTGTCCTGTGGAAAGTGGGGCCAGGTGGCTGGGAGGATGGACCACACATTTGCCGTGTGCTCTGAGCCGACACCTGCTCCCGGGCAGCGCTCACTGTCATCCCTTGGGAAGGGTAAAAACGTCCCAGCTCCCAGGATGACTGTGTCCACACAAGTGCTGAGGAGGGCCAATGAAGAGGGACATGCGTGTCCTTTTGTAAAAAGCACACTTCTACCTCCTGTGTGCACGTTCCAACAGTGGGTGTGTCTGAAAGTGGAGGCATGTGATCTGGAGAAATGGAGGCAGTGCGGGATGCTGCCGGCTTTGGGGTTCTCTGTTGGGAGGGGAGGGTCCAGAGAGACTGGCCACCCCACTTTCTCCTCCTTCATGAGCAGAGCGATTCCAGGTGGTGCCATCGCAGGTAAGACACGAGTCTCATGGGTGAGCGGGCCGGGCCCAGATGTCCATCCTCCATGGGATTCCTGGACTCCTGACCTTAAGCCTTCCTGGCCTCACTGACCTGAACTGACTGCGCTGGGAGCAGGGCAGTGTGTGCTGACTCTGAGTGCTGATTTCCCCTTGGCTGCACCCTCGAAGGCACTCCCCCGACTCGACTCTGCTTTCTTAGGGCCGCAATGTCCTGGTCCATCCCCGTGACTCAAGGTCAAGGTCAGCCTTTTCCCCCAGCCCCCGGTAGCAGCAGGCCAACCAGAGAGAAGACAGCAGCCCCCAAGGACGGCTGGGCAGGGCCCCTTCCCCTCGCTGCAGCACAGAGCATGCAAGTGGCGTCTGCAGACACTGAAGTTCCAGCACTAAACCAACGACAAGGCTGATTTTCAAATGGTTTTAATGATGGACAATCTGCATACCAATCGACTCATCTGTGCACACAGGCTGAGAACAATGCAGGGAGAGATGCGGAAAGGCCTGTGCTGCGATGACAATGCTTCCAGTGTGCTGACCTCGTCAGCGAAGCAAACAAAAGTACAGTCTCTTTGGAGGAGACATTAATGAGTCATTAAGAACGGGTACAGCTGCGTGGTGCAAGCACTTCGTTAAAAATATTCTTCTCATTTTGTGTCTGTCCCGTAATTATAATGGAAGTATTGTGCAAGTCAGCCAGTCAGCGCATGCAGAAAAATATTTATGTTTTACAATATCTGCACGGTTTTTAAAGTGCATTGTCAAGTGTGGCTGCTGTACCGCGTTTTGCCTGTTGTCGCCTCTTACTGACAGCCTCAGCTTTAAAACGCCCTGCACCCGCGTTATGACAGTCACCGCTCTGTCTCCGTACGTGCCTGGTGCACATCCCGGCCACCAGGGAAGGCGCACTGTGGAGCTCTGCCGTCTGCCCTGCTGAATTTGGGGAAAACAAGGCTGTACGCTCCTCCATCGCGAGGCCATGGCTCCTGCTCCCTCCTCTCCTCATGGTCAGGCCAGCCCGTGGGGCCCACGGCCACAGTGCCCACCCAGGCAGGAGACCCCAGAGCAGAGTAAGGAAACCCAATGTGCCTTTGAGAGAACCGTTTAGAAACTGCCCTCAACTGTCTTTAAAGCTGGAGAAGTCCCTGAAGGTCACCCAAGGTGCTCACTGTGGGGACGAGGAGAGTGGATCTGGGGAGGGGAGAGGCCGGCTCGGGGCTGCATCAGGGGCCCCCATTTAATCCACGTGCATGGAGCAGTTCCTGAGGATGCTGGGGGCAGGACCACCATCAACAGGAGCGAGCGGCTGGAGGGACGGGAGGCAGCATTGGGGACCACACGTCCCCCATCTGTTACAGACCCACGGGCGCTTCCAGCCCCCAAAGGACGCTGTCCTTGGTAAGTGTCTCAAAACTAAGTTTCCTTAAGAAAAGAAGTTGGGAATGTGAGCTTCTTTCATGACATCGTCAGGCTCCAGGGACTGCCTGCCTTCTCACCCAGACGGAGGCAGGACTGCCCCCAGTTAGCTCTGGGCTGGTACGGGCAGGATGGAACGCACCACCGGGCTGGGCCAGCATCTTCGTGTCCTGCTCCCAGGAGACCCCACATCTGTGGGTGACTCTTCAGGGCCTGCTGGTCCAACCGAGGCAGCTGGGGTGGCGCACCCTGTCAGGCCTCTTCCTTGAGCTTCCGTCCTCGGTGACCTCTGAGGAAGGTGGAAGGCGGAGGGGGAGCAGGTGGTCTGAGCAGGCAGCTTCCTGGCAGGAAGGGGGGCTGTGGAGGCCCCACCCCCTTTCTGGCACCTTCTGCCCACTCTGCCAGCGAGTCACATCCCGGAAGGCCGTCCCTGGCCACTGTCTCATCATTCCTCAACGCGGACGTGGTCAGGACAAGGTGATGGAGCCCAGGCATTCGGACTCTGCTCGGGTGGGACTGGAGCCAGCGCCCGTGAAAGGACCCTCTGACACCGGGAAGGGTTCGGATGCAGCCGGGCATTAGCGGATGGACAGGCTTCTGTTCACTTTGTTAGTGTTTCAACGACATTGTAGGATGTAAAAGGAAAACGCCCTTATCTGTTAGCAAGAAAACGTTTACAGAAATAGTGAGGCATCTTGGACGGTGCTAGAATGCTCGCAAGCACAGCAGAAGGGCGTTTGTGGAGAAAAACAAGACGGTGAAACGACCGGAATTGAAACTGGGCGATGGAGGGTGTACCCAATTCCGCTGCTTTTGGGTCAGTTAGAAATTCCCACAATAAGACATGAAGAAAAAAATGTACACCACTCTCCCATGGAGTCCTGGATCTTGAAAAGGGCTTTAAAGATAGAAGAACTTTTCAACTTATCCCATTTCCCACGGGGGAAACGCTCAATTTGGGGAGGCCAGGAAGGCGCGGGCCAGGGGGAGCAGGAGGCAGGGCCGCCTGGCTCACCGGAGGCACAGGTGCTCTACCTGCCATGACCCCGCGGTGACGTACCTGTCAACACTCTGAAGGGCTGGAGCTCAGCTTCCTGCCAGCAGTACAGCAGCAGGGCCAAGAGCGCCAGCATTCCTCTACTTGCTGCCATGCTCCCTCCCGCTGAAGGAGGGAGAGGAGGACCTCCTCCTGAAGGCCCCTCTGCTACCCGCCTCTGTCTCCAGGATACTGTGGAATGTCAGGGACCTGTGACCTCACGGCAGGAAGTGAGGGTCCTGCCCTCAGTGGGGAGAATGGTGCCCAGGGTCTCTGACTGGGAAGGCTGGCTAGGGGGATCCCCTCCACTTGCTCCCATGGCCCGTTCACGTGCTTTCCTCGTCCTGCAGACCCTGAGGCCTGAAGGGGTAGGACGTTAATCAGGACTCTGTGGAGTGGCAGAACCCAACAAAATCTGCTCACAGGAAAAGAGATGTATTGGAAGGAGGCTGGAGAGCTCACTGTGTGACACGGCAAGTGCTGGAACCAGCAGTTCCAGGGGCTCCCTAAGGAGCAGGGGCTGACGCCCGGGCCTCCTTCCCTCTCCCTCTTTCTCAGCGTCAGCCCCAATTGCTCTCTGGTGGTGGACTTTCATCACAAGACAGGAGCATGGTTGCACATCTCCATGGCTGCATGTGCTCCATGCCCTAAATGATTCTAGAGTTTTCTCCATCAGCACCAATGAGAAACTCCCAGAGGAACACTCTGGTCGGGTTGCCTGCATCATATCCCATCCCAGGACCAGTTCCTATGTCTGGGGCTGAGAGTGGGGTAGGTGGCCCAGCCAGACCAGGTTTCTTCTGTGGGCAGGGGTGGGGTCCCAAGTGGACAGTTCTCAAACCACAGGGCAGTGGTCCTGGATGCCCAAGAACAAGAGTTCTCCTAAAGCTGGGCGAGGCCTCTGGAGACGGCTGGCCCACTGGGGTCTTTCAGCTTTCTATTTTTTTATTGCTGATGTGGGGGGCTACTGAAGATCATTGTGTAGGCTTTCTTCCTGATAGAGGTAGTGCAGCCAATCTACCTCAAGGAATTGTTCCTGAGTGAAGGTGCAGAGAAGCCAGTCCTACAGCACCAGCTATGGAGAGAAGAAAGAGCTTTATTGCATGGCTGACCAGCAAGGAGACAGGAGGCCAGGCTCAACCTGTGTCCCCGAGTGAAGCAGGGACAGACTTCTAAGGAGCTGGGAGTGGGAGTGGTCATATGAAATGCCAACTTGGCTGAATCGGATTGGAGCCTGGAGGCTGGGTGGGCACCCGTCTTTCAAGTCCGATGTGCTGCAAGTCAAGGGGCCCCTTGCTTCTCACTAGCTTCCCCATTCCACCTTCTCTTTATATTGAGTTCTTTAATTGGGAACTTTTGGTTTCTAGGCATCTTGAGGTCATCCGAGGACAGGGTTTCCCTCTTGTGAGCATGCTCCAGCTATCTGACTTGCGGTTTTTCCTCATTACCCCTGCAAAACAACTTTTGATACAACATTGCTATCGACACAATAGGATATAAGAGGTTACTTACAGTAGGATGGTTACAGCGAGATCACAGATGAGACTACAAATGTCTACAAATGTTTGCAGTGCCCACCAGAATGATTAAGCAAGGCCTACATTTGCAGGTTACACGGTGGGTTCCATGGCCCACTTGTGTTAATTAATGTCTGATGACAGACCAGTGGTCTGGAGACTTGTTATTCAATTTGGTCCTTGGACCAGCAGCCTCAGTGCAAGACAGTGAAAATACAAACATATAATAACATCATAAAGGAAAGTATAACTCTGACCCATTATTTACAGTAGCCATCCAGGAATGACACTACCATCCACAGTCACCATCCAGGTAGGAAACTACCATCCACAGTCACCATCCAGGAGGAAACTACCATCCACAGTCACCATCCCGGAAGGAAACTACCATCCACAGTCACCATCCAGGAAGGAAACTACCATCCACAGTCACCATCCAGGAGGAAACTACCATCCACAGTCACCATCCAGGAATGAAACTACCATCCACAGTCACCATCCAGGAGGAAACTACCATCCACAGTCACCATCCAGGAATGACACTACCATCCACAGTCACCATCCAGGAATGACACTACCATCCACTGTCACCATCCAGGAAGGAAACTACCATCCACAGTCACCATCCAGGAAGTGACACTACCATCCACAGTCACCATCCAGGAGGAAACTACCATCCACTGTCACCATCCAGGAAGGAAACTACCATCCACTGTCACCATCCAGGAATGATACTACCATCCACAGTCACCATCCAGGAAGGAAACTACCATCCACAGTCACCATCCAGGTAGTGATACCACCATCCACAGTCACCATCCAGGAATGACACTACCATCCACTGTCACCATCCAGGAAGGAAACTACCATCCACTGTCACCATCCAGGAAGGAAACTACCATCCACAGTCACCATCCAGGAAGGAAACTACCATCCACAGTCACCATCCAGGAAGGAAACTACCATCCACAGTCACCATCCAGGAAGGAAACTACCATCCACAGTCACCATCCAGGAAGGAAACTACCATCCACAGTCACCATCCAGGAAGGAAACTACCATCCACAGTCACCATCCAGGAGGAAACTACCATCCACAGTCACCATCCAGGAAGGAAACTACCATCCACAGTCACCATCCAGGAAGGAAACTACCATCCACAGTCACCATCCAGGAAGGAAGTTACCATCCACAGTAATGATCCAAGTAGTTAAACAACACCTCTGCAATCATCAGCCCCAGTTGGCCTGGACCTGATCAATAACTGTCTTTTTTCCTTTTTTTTTTTTTTGTGGTGAAGAAAATTGGTTCTGAGCTAACATCTGTTGCCAATCTTCCTCTTTTTGCTTGAGGAAGATTTTTGCTAATCTAACATCTGTGCCCATCCTCCTCTACTCTGTATGCAGCCACAACATGGCTTGATGAGTGGTGTGTAAGTCAGCAGATGGCATCTGAACCTGTGAATACCGGGCCACTGAAGTGGAGCACATGAACCCAACAACTATGCCCCCATTTTTGGGCTCGCCCCCAATTTTCCTGTTTTTGTCTATACTTCCAACATAGGACCAACCAGAGAAAGTTGGAGTGCTGGTGGAAGGAAGTTCCAGGCATTGTCTTGTAAGGGTGTGGGAAGCAAAGTTGGAGGGTTCCACCTGGGCAGGTGTGTTGTAAACAGTCACTTAAAACAACATCAGTTTATAATCTTACCCGTTCTGGAGGCTGGAAGTCCAGATTGGGTGTCACTGGGCTGAAATCAAGCTGTCGACAGCGCTCCGTGACTCCTGCAGGCTCTATAGGATCTGTTCCCTTGCCTCTTCCAGCCTTTAGAGGCTACCACACTGCTTGGACGGCGGTCTCCTTCCTCCATCTTCAAAGTCTGTCCTGTCTCTGATTCTCTCTTCTGCCTCCCTCTGCCACTTCTGTAGGCCCTTGTCACTGCACTGCGCTCTGTGTTGGTTAATTTTATATGTCAGCTTGGCTGGGCCATGGTGCCCAGATATAGGGTCAAATCTTATTCTGGATGTCTCTGTGAGGGTGTTTTTGATGAGATTAATGTTTAAGCTGGTGGACTTTGAGCAAGGCAGATTGCTCTCCATAATGTGGGTGGGCTTCATACAATAGGTTGAAGGCCTAAATAGAATAAAAAGACTGACTTCTTCCAAGGAAGAGGAACTTCTGCCCCAAGATGGCCTTCAGACTTGAACTGCAACATTGGCTCTTCCCTGGGTCTCCAGCCTGCCAGCCCACCGTCCAGATTTTGCACTTGCCAGCCTCCATAATCACATGAGCCAATTCCTTAACATAAACCTCTCTTTCTACGTGTATACACCACTTACTGTCTCTGTTTCTCTGGAGAACCGTAACTAATACAGGCCCACGTGAATAATCCAGGATAATCTGTCCATCTCAAATTCAGATGGTTAGCAATTTTAATTCCATCTGCAGCCTGTTACTCTTTGCCACAGAACTCAAAATATTCACAGGGGGGGCCAGCCCTGGGCCGAGTGGTGAAGTTCACACGGTCTGCTTCAGCAGCCCAGGATCTTGCCGGTTCAGATCCTGGGCATAGACATGGCACCGCTCATCAAGCCATGCTGAGGCAGCGTCCCACATAACAGAACCAGAGGCACTCACAACTAAGATATACAATTATGTACTGGGGGTCTTTGGAGAGAAGAAGAAGAAAAAATAAAAAACAAGATTGGCAACAGATGTTAACTCAGGTGCCAATCTTTAAAAAAAAATAATATTCACAGTTTCTGGGGATTACTGGCCTGGATACATGGACATCTTTTGGACAACAATGTCTTTTGCCCTTTTTCCAATTGGATTGCTTGCTTTTTTACTGTTGAATTTTGAGAGTTCTTCATATATTATAAATACAAGCATTTTATTAGATATACGATTTGCAAACATTTCCCCCAGCCTATAGCTTGTCTTTTTATCTTCTTTGCAAAGTCTTTTGTAGAACAACAATTGTTTTAAATTTTGCGGAAGTCCAATGTATTAATTTTTTTCCTTTTACGGGTTGAGCTTTTGGTGTCATGCCTAAGAACTCTTCACCAAGATTTAGGTGCTGAAGATTTTCTCCTATCTTCTAAAAATTTTATAATTGTACATTTAAATCTCTGATGGATTTTGAGTTCCTGTTTGATGAGGTTTGAGGTTTAGGTCAAGGTTCATTTTTTTGCTGTTAGATTTGCAATTGCTCTCGCACCATTTTTTGAAATGTTTATTCTTACATTGAATTGTTTTGCCTTTTTGTCAAGATTCAGTTGGCCGTGGTTGTGTAGGGTCTTTTCTGAGTTCTCTGTTCTATTTCTTCTGTTTCATTGATCTATGTATTTATGCCTCCACCAATACCATCCTGTCCTGATTACTGGAGCTATATAAACTGTCTTGAAAACAGTTAGAATAATTCCACTTTAGTTTTCTTTTTCAAAATAATTTTAGCTATTTTCGTTCCTTTGCCTTTTCATACAGATTTTAGGATAATCTTGTCTGTATCTGCAAAACATTTTGCTGGGATTTTGATGGAAATTGTGTTAAACCTGTACATCAATTTGGGGAGAATTGTCAAATATTTTTTCTGCATGAATTGATATGAGCATGTGATTCTTTCTTCATTACCTTATTAATATGGTCAATTGCATTGAGAAAATTCCATCATTTTATATTTTTTTTACTG